CACAATGTGAATAGATTTATTATTATTCAAACTGTGAATCTAATATATATATATATATATATATATATATATATATATATATATATATATATATAGATCCGGTAAAAAAATTTTTTTGGTAGGAAGGTAAGAAAATTTTTTTCTACATACTTTTTTGACGAACAAAATAAATGAATCACTAGATGATTCATTTCTAAGATTATTCACAAGAAAAAATTCTCAAAAAAACATCTTTATGATTCATTTTTAAGTAAATTAAGAAAAAATTCATTTTTATGATCATTTTAGTGAATAACAACAAAATCATTGTACAAATGAATCATAAAGATGTTTTTTTAAGAATTTTTTCTTGTGAATCATCTTAGAAATGAATCATCTAGTGATTTATTTATTTTGTTCGTCAAAAAAATATGTAGAAAAAAAACTTCTTACCTTCCTACCAAAAATTTCCTTCTTATTTGATCTTGACTATATATATATATATATATATATATATATATATATATATATATATATATATATATATATATATATATATATATATATATATATATGTCATTTTTAGTATCCGAAAATGAGCTAAGTTTAAAAAAAAAAGCAATTTATTGGTTTTGTATATCAATATGAATGTCTATTTAAATAGTGTCATACGTTATGTATTTTGATATATATTTTTATTTTTTTCAATAAAAAATAATTATAAATATTACAGATCCAACAAAATGAAGTGTTTTTTTTTTTTTAAATCATTTTTTATATATCAATATAGATGTCTATAGAAAGATGATAAAAAAATTATGCATTTCGGTATATTCATTTTTTTTCATCAATAAAAGATTAGTCATAAAAATTTTTAAATAATGATTTTTTTGTTATGATATAGAGCACATATGTCCAATGTAAGTTATGAAATTGTATAGATGAGTTTTGTTGTTTGATTCTATGGTTTAAAATAATTCGTCATTACACTTTAGCCTATATAAATGAAAGAAACTTTAGACACATCTACTAACAAAATGTCTTTTAAATTTTAGTAATAACAATTGATCGAGGACGATGATGTCGTTATTGGAATATGTGACATCAAAGAATACATGCAAAATTTATAAATATTATAAGGCTACAACTTCAAGCATAATTCTCGAGTGCTCATGATCATACCTTGTATTGACCTCGTCTTGTTGATAATAAATTCCTCCAAGCATAATGTATACATTAATGCTACCTAGCATCCCATTCTTTTACGTGAAATTATTTTAAAGTGTCAAGTGTAAATGTGTTGGCGCATACTCAAAAGTTAATGATCACTTCATTGTTACGGAGCTTAAAATTAAGAAAGAAGCAGTTAATGGTTTTTGGAAAAATTGGAATACTGTAATGTTATTTATAGATTTTTTGTATATTGAGAATTCAAATAAATTGGCGTCGAGGGTGAGAGTGAGTTTGAAGCCTTTTGATTGGTTGAAGAAATTTCGGTTTCCATCCTGAAAATTACTCAAAATCTTTGGTATCAAGACAAGTGTGCTAGTATTCCCGATACCTCCTTTCCTGAGCCTTCCTTAGCTAATATGATCCACCATTATGCATAGTTTTCTGGTATTTTATATTTAACACTTGCACATCCGCTTCAAAATAATATAATAGTAGCAATTTACTCTCATTCTTATTATGTTAAAAAATTGTTATAACCGGAAGTAATATTCTATATTATGTTAAAAAGATTATGTTTGTCTAAAGTGATTTTTCCAAAGTACATTTTTTTTTGCTTTTATTATAAATTACTTTAAATACTTTATATATATAGACGCTTATGTTTATTATAACATTGTCCTTACTTATTGCTTAACGATGAAAATGTTTTCTATTGATCATTTTTGAAAATTCATATAATTCAAAAATATTGGACAAGATTTCTTACAATTAAATCAAAATCTTATTTTTAATATTTTATGATATGAAAACGTTTCATAGGGATCATTTCTATAACTTTTTCTTGTATTATAGCATTGTACTTTTATAGGATCTAAAATTTGATTTTTTCAAACTTTTTTCTAACAAAAAAGTAACTAGGCCATTCCTATCTAAAGCATATTTTTTTCGTGATGAACAATGTTCACATGTACGATTTATGTGACTTTTTCTTAAATTATAACATTGTCATTGGGGAGTAAAATTTAAGATTTTTTCAAACATTTTTGTTCATCAAAACGATTATTTCTCTTTTTGTGTGATCAAAATTGTAACATCTAATTTTTCACCCAAATGTTATTTATTTTAACAATACATTTTTATCCAAAATATGTTATCATGAAAGTCTTATTTATAGTTCATTAAAAACATCACCAATGTTACTTAAATATAAAAAGAAATAGCCTCTTTCAAAAGTTTAATTTCACCAAACCAACACCAACCAAGTTTTCAAAACCAAAAGCAGATGAAATCTCATTGACAAGTCCAAAGTGATATCATCACTAAAAATATGATAAATGTAACTACACAAGAGACCCCAAACTTAGCAAACCATAAACTATGTTTTATACATATAGACGCTTATGTTTATTATAACATTGTCCTTGCTTAATGATGAAAATGTTTTCTACTGATCATTTTTGAAAATTCATATAATTCAAAAATGTTGGACAAGATTTCTTACAATTAAATCAAAATCTTATTTTTAATATTTTATGATATGAAAACGTTTCATAGGGATCATTTCTATAACTTTTTCTTGTATTATAGCATTGTACTTTTATGGGATCTAAAATTTGATTTTTTTTCAAACTTTTTTCTAACAAAAAACTAGGCCATTCCTATCAAAAGCTTATTTTTTTCGTGATGAACAATGTTCACATGTACGATTTATGTGACTTTTTCTTAAATTATAACATTGTCATTGGGGAGTAAAATTTAAGATTTTTTCAAACATTTTTGTTCATCAAAACGAGTATTTCTCTTTTTGTGTGACGAAAATTGTAACATCTAATTTTTCACCCAAATGTTTTTTATTTTAACAATACATTTTTATCCAAAATATGTTATGAAAGTCTTATTTATAGTTCATTAGAAAACATCACCAATGTTACTTAAATATAAAAAGAAATAGCCTCTTTCAAAAGTTTAATTTCACCAAACCAACACCAACCAAGTTTTCAAAACCAAAAGTAGATGAAAACTCATCGACAAGTCCAAAGTTGTATCATCACTAAAAATATGATAAATGTAACTACACAAGAGACCCCAAACTTAACAAACCATAAACTATGCTATTTGTACCGATGAAAGGCAAACATTAAGGAAATAAACAAGTGTCAGCATACGCTAAGGGAGTCAACCATAGGTACCATGTTATGGAACGTACACATCCCACTGGTTAAACGAACATCATACAAACATGCATTCAAACACTCAAATAGGATGGTGTTAGATACATCATATAAACACCACAATCATGTTCAATTTGTATTCTTATTTAAAGCCTTTACATTTAGTTACACTCCATTATTCATTTTTGTAACCAGTTATTACTTCATACATCACTATAATATTATAAGATAATATAAATCTTCATTTTCATCATTAACAATTACTCTCTGCTTAATCACCTTTGTAATTGTTATTATAATACTTCCTATTTATGGATCTATATATTCATCAATAACCCCCAGGTAAGTATCACGTTCGCGACTAACGTGACTGGCATGACCTAATGTACTAAGTGAGGTGCGAGTCTCACCCCCAAACATTTCCCTTGGTTGTTGCTTCGTTCACTACTCTAACATTGCATATAGTAGTATACGAATTGTCCTTAAGGATCAGTACCAACGGGGCCAATTTCAGCATGTTACTCTTCCCAAATCTCACGTGATGTTTTCGTTGATGTTCTATCAATCGTCAACATCACTCCAGTCCCAACTAAGTTGGACCATACCCTGAGTGGATGTCTAGAAAAATCACTCGACGTCAAGTATTGATTAAGCTCTTATCCCATTTCTCTCACATCGATTCAAATTCAAAATGAACCACTTGGGTTTCCAACACTATAAATACCCAAAATTGCTCTACATTTTTATCTTTACGCTCATACAACATTCCAAGGTATTCCAGTTTATTCTAATCAATTCTTCGGTTCTCTCAGTTTATCTTATTAAGACCAAACGGCTTCTTGTAGTGATCACATCTCATTCATGGATCAAACAAATTCATCTATTTTTGTCATTGTGAAACCTAGATAGAACTTGATTGTTGATTTGGAGTACTCGAAGTATAGTCCCTCGGTTCAAGCTTTGATTGAATGTTTGAACTACTCGATTTTGAAAAAAGCTTTGACACACTTCAAGTATGTTCTTCTATCTAATTTGATTATGGCTTATTCCAATGATATTACAACAAGAAGTTTGAAGTAGTTAGTTTTGATGTTCAAGGACATCAAACGACGATTACAAAGGCAAATTTCTACAAGCTATTAGGGTTAACTCTTGGTGCTGATTCAATCAACCCTGATTTGGTCCAATATACAAATATTATTAGGGCTTATCATCAAATGGGGCATATTTTTGATTTCTTTGTTCTTTCAACATTCAAGAAGTCATGTTTGCCACTTAATTTAAAATTCTTTGTTCACTAGTCTCTTCAAGTTTTTCTCTGAAAGGGCTATTGGTACTGATAGCGCGAGTAAACGATATCATACTTTTCTTTAAGGATTGTTTTCTCGTGAAAAAGTGGATTGTGGGCATATTTTGTGGACTCAATTTGTTCAAAGTCCTACATCCAAGTCCAAGAATACTGAAATCTATTGTGCAAGGTTGTGGTTGATCATAGTGAAGCAAACTCTGGATCATTACAATATTCCACAAGTGGCGGGTGCAGTTATGGATAATATTCAGAACATGAGTATATCTATGTTCATTACTTTAGATTGCAAGAATTTTCATTTTATTGGCTTAATTCCTGAGGTAATATTGGCATAAGTTTTGATGGATAGTGAGATTATTCAAATCTACATGAAGATTCCTTCGTTCGGAGAAAGACCTATTCCACTTGCTCTTCATGATGTTCTTGATGTTGGTGATGCTCCGAAAAGGGTTAGACTTAAAAGAAAATCAAAGGTGGATGCAGAGGTATAACCTGTGAAATCTAAAGCTCCAAAGAAGAGACATTCAAAGAAAGCTAAGCCTACCATTTCCTATTAGGAGTTGGATGATTATACTATTAGTGTTGTTAATGTTACTGAAGATATTGCTTCTGGTAATAATGTTGCGACCATAACTAAGAATCAAAAGCATACACCAAAGCTAGTAGATCAGCATGAAACTTTGAAGGTATCTATTCTAAATCCTACTACTCATATTTCTACTCAATTTAACAATTAGTCAAAAGTACACATTTAGTAGACTGCTTTGGAATATCCTATTTTAAACCTTTTGTAATCTCAAAGGCCACCAATACCACCAGTTGTTCAAAACCAAGCCTCAACATCAACTCCGACCACCACTACTTACATCCCCATTACTACTATTCATATCCAAACCACATCACAAATTCCTAAAACTACATTTCTTGATTTCACCAGTCAAGTTCCAATTTCCCAATCTAACCCAGAACTTATTTTCACATAATCTACTACAACCACATCATTTTCTCAATGTCAAACTACAACTACCACAAAACGAAACGTTTCTGATTTTCACCTATTATTGATGAACGTGACACTTTAGAACCTATTTCAACAAGTGTTCCGCTAGTTACATCTATTTTTCCCTATTCATAACCGATCTAAAATTCTCTATCGAGACATGAAGAGTCACAATATGGATCAAATGATGATTTTATGGTTGTAGATGATCCAGAAGTTTTAGAACCCTATGTTGTAACTCCTATGGCAACATCTTTTGATGAGGATATCAAGCTGATGACTCGTCAAGATTATAATGTTTTGAATACGAAGTTGAATACTTTATTTCGTCATGACCAAACTTTCTCAACTTCAAATTTTTAGAGCATGGTGATTGCAGATCAAGGTGTTACACAGACCTTGCAATCTAAAACTATAATAATTTTCTGTGAGCATTAAAAGTTAATATACGATACAACTAAGAAAGTTGTTAAAGTTGTTCCGGATGTTAAGATGTTATCTGAGAAATTTGACTCTGCTCTTAAAGATATTAAAGACAAAGTTGCAAAACCACAAGTATACAAACCACACAACACAACTACAACAGATTAGTAGAATAAATTCAAACAGTTTTGGTAAATCCGTTTTTCATGTCGTGAAAGCAGCTTCCTTATGTCGTGGCAAGAGTCAAGACATAATGTTGCAAAGCAGAACCAATTTTGACCGAATTAATTCCATGATATGCCAAGGGTTTTGTCTAAATGTAATTCTAAACACATTTTTCAAACATGCAATCTCAATTTCACAGTTAAAATTCAAAATTGTTACACCCTCTACCCTAAAATCGCACATATTGTTCAAAATCAAACAAAACCTAGAAATATCAAGTGTATTAGAGCAATAAAATCATACCTTAAGATGGATTAAACATGAACACTGGAAGTAGTAGGTGATTTGCCAAAAACTCGAAGTGCGGGGCAGGAATGGGAGAGTTCACGTTGTGATTTTTGTTTGAGAATAGAAAATAAACATGTTTTAGGGCTAATTTATCTCTTTCTGGTCTCCCCATTTTGTCACATCATTACACATAGTTTTTCATGTCGTGAAGGTAGAAATATTTTCAGATCGACACTCTATTAAATCCCACGTTGTAGCCAAGAGATGTCCATGTCGTGGGTGTAATTTAAACTACAAAAACCTAACTTTTTCTTAAAATTTTCCTTATAATAAAACCACAGCCTCCTCTAATGACCCCACACTGGAATAAAATTAGAATATAATGATGAGAGAGTGAATTAAACTATCAAAAAATAAATGAAAAATGAAAATCAAACTAAAAGGTGAGAAAAAGAAAATGCAAACCAAACACGTGTGACATCCCCAAATTTCAGAGTCCGAAAAGACCTTTTTTTATGCTTATATTAAAAACAGAGGAGTACGGAAATTTTCCCATAAAATTATTTTCAAAGAAATATTTTACATTGATTAATAAAACTTGGGCTTTCATAACTAATGCAGAAACATAAGCATAAACTTTGGTAGGCCTTACAATAATTACACGAGTGCCCTACAAACTCCTTTAATCCCTCATCAAATAATTACACTATTATCCAATTATATTCATATCGCTACATGTGATGCAAAGAAACTAAGAGGGTTAGATTTGGGAAACGAGAGACGACACACTTTCTTGTGTGTCTATAGACGATGTGCATTTATGATGCGTAATTACGATACGCATTTATGATGCTCATTTACGACACACAATGTGTATCAAGGAAGGCCCTGTCATAAAGGAAGATGACACGTATATGCGTGTGGTAACCTTGTGACGCATGTTTAGGACATGCATTTTGTTTCATTATAGCCCCTGTCATAAATGAAGATGGCACATATTTGTCTGTCATAATGTCACACCCCGGCCGTCGGCGGAAACACCGGGCAGTGTAATGTCATTTCTCGTATCATAGTTATCAACTTCCTGAAAACACATGCAATTTAAAAATACGTCAACATAAAGTTGGTGAGTTCACAGGTTTTGACTCCATATAAAAATAATACATATTCCAAGTTCAAAAGTATAGTTTTGAAAGTATTATTTTGAGTTTCCAACGTTTAGTATATATATCCTAGGTATAATGGTTTACTTACAAAATAAGTATATACCTATAAGTCTCATATATTATAAATATAAATGTTTGTAATTCCATACAAACTAAGTTGCTAAGTATAAATCTTATTTCAATTCTATACGAGTAAAACTGCTACGTATAAATCTATTTCAATTCTATACGACTAAGTAGGATAGGTATAGTGGTCTACTTACTATACAAGAAATATACCTACTAGATTCTTATACTTAGAGTATAAGTCTTTGGGAAACTTATACTTAACATTCATACTTGTATATCAACAAAGTATAATGCTTCTAAAGTTGTTGTACCATGAGTCTATAGCTACGACTGTATGACTTAGTTTTATACCTCTTATTATTATTACAAGGATCACACATTGCTGTAGTGAAAGGATTACACCTTGCGGTAGTACAAGGATCACACCTTACGGTAGTACAAGGATCACACCTTGCGGTAGTTCAAGGATCACACCTTGCGGTAGTTTCCGCACGTTTCATTGACGTCGGAACAGTAACAAATAAAAGGATAGTTCATCACTCGCTTTTGGTTGACTGTAGCTAACAGTCATGAGTGGGGTGGACAACCTGTATACTATTTATATACAACTTCCTCACTCATACGAGATTAACGAATACAGGTTAGAGGACTTTCACTAAGATCCCCAATCTTAGATGATGAATACAATAGCTCAGGTAGACTTTGACGGCGTTCTATAATTCTAACAACAAAAACATTTTTGTATCTAAAACCCTAAGTTACTAGACTATGCTTTTAAACATTACTCCTAATTTCATAACATTTAGGCAGTATAATAGCTATATCTTGAAGTAAAAACCAGGTTTTATCTTGACCTAAAACCAATAATAACAACATATAATTTTCCTAGTTTATCTTGACATAAAACTAACAATAACAACATATCCAACTTTATCTTGACATAAAACTAATAATAACAACATATAACATATCTAGTTTTATCTAGACATAAAACTAATAATAACAACATATCCAGTTTTATCTTGACATAAAACTAATAATAACAACATATAACATATCCAGTTTTATCTTGACATAAAACTATTAATTGCAACATACTATATAACTTAACATATAAAACTTCCGAATATAACTTCGGAACTATATCGCACACAACATATATATAGAATCCTAAGTATAACTCAAGATCTACATTAATATACTACTATAACAATAACATTTTAACAACGTTACGATAGTTGTATATTTTCAAAATATTATATTTAGAACAATCATATCTCGATTATCATAACTATATACTATCATATAGACATAATAATAACATATATATACAATGAGTAGCATGCGTTTACCCCCAGAATATTAGAAAGTGGGGCCGTGAAACTCACCTTAGTAACGTGATTTTATGTAATCTAGGTAGAAACGGTCAGCGTACGAGGTCGTCGGGGTTCGGGAAGCGAAACGGCTTCAGCAAACGAGAGAGAGAGAGAGAGAGAGAGAGAGAGAAAGAGAGAGAGAGAGAGAGAAAGAGAGAGAGAGAAAGAGAAAAAAAATGGTGTACTAAGCCTTGGGGTCGAAATGGCTATTTATAGTAAGATTTTATGACACTCACGTCGTGAGTGTCATAAGGATCACGTCGTGAGTCTGCATGATTCACTCCATAGACTTGCCATTTGCGTCCCTAGCTTCGGATGGTGGCCATGACACCTCACGTCGTGAGTTTCATAAAGCTCACGTTGTGAATTGGATCTTTTCCTCTCGCAGCTTCTAGATTCCGAATTATGACAGAATGTCGTGAGCGTCATAAAACTCACGTCGTGAATTAGCTAGTTTAGGTTTTTTAAAAGCTAAATCTTCGGAATGCCATAACTTTTACATATGAACTCCGTTTTTTACGTTCTTTATATGCACGCATAGGTATTTACGAGTACTACAACTCTCTTTTAGACTTAAATAGCTAATTCTAAGTCTATTTTAAATTCCTCTTATTATAGAGATTTATAGTGTTCGGTTTATCATAACTTCTTCATGCGAAGTCAGATTCAGACGTTCTCTATATTTTTGGAATCGTATGGACATATACTTTGAGTTGTATCATAAAGAAAGTTCATATTTGTATTAGAATTTATTATGAACTACGTAACATTCTTACCACATTACTAGGTTAACATAATTACATGATTGGCATAATCATATGTGATTGTCTATTGACCTATTTTGACGGGTGTTACACATAAACCTCAACAACCATTTATAATATGCATATACGATGTGACTTTACGATACTCTTTTACGCATAATACAAAAATCTAGAAAAAAATATATATACAAAAACAATCAGCTTCATCCAATAGCATCATGTCAAAAAATTGTAATACATTAATATTAAAGGGATCTGATTGTACATTGTTATTAAGAGGTTTTCCCTAACTATATAACCTAATACTACATTGCTATAAAGGAGGGCCTTCTTGTTTCAGTAACTCATCATTAATCTGTCTAAAGAAGCTCTAAAACCCTTCATGTATCCAACCAATCATCATGTCTGTTAGCTTCAATATCAATCCCAACTCTTGATCAAAAACAACACAGAAATCCTACATAATAATCATATCAGTTATAAAATATCAACACCAACTAATTAATAATACACATGGTATGTATGAGAGTTTTATATTGTCATGAATCAGAAAAGAAAACCAACCAAACCATTACACTTTTATCCTTGTTCATATTAAAAAAATTTCTTTCTATTCATAACCAGAGACTAACTAACCAGATATTTAAACATGTATGTATAAT